TTTTTAAGGACACTCTTTCCTGGTGGAGAAATTCATGTGGAAGATTCAAGTGTACAAGGAACAACTGCAGGTTCTTCCTCAGATCATGCTGCAACATCAAGGGGTGCTGCCGAAGCCCCTGAAGCCCAACCCAATGCCAGTGATGAAGGGATATTTTTGTCTAATATACTCCGTGAGATCATGCCAGTTATATCTCAACAAGTAGAGTCTGAGGGGAATCCTTCAGAAGATCATATGGCTCAAGATTCTTCAACCCAGGTCTGTGGGCTTCATTGCTTTCTTATTCTATTGTATGATTACATTTGCTCTTATGTCAACTTCAACTATGGAAGCCTTTCTCACTCATTGAGTGCTTCTGGGCTTTGATGCACACTTGGAGAACATCCAATAGTTGAAAGATTCCAACCTTTGTATTCTTTTTTCAAATCTCACTGGGTCTCCCTTTCCCTGAGGTTGCTGAACAGATGTAAATATCTAATGTAGCAAAAAAATCAGGCGAGATTATGCAGGATAATTTTCTTATGCTTTTTTCTTTTTGCCTTGTTCAACCAGAGAATATCTAGTTGTGAAATTTAGTTGTACGTACCTCTCCCATAAAAAAAGAAAAGAAGCTGACCAGTGGATTTCTGTGCAGGTTGAAACTGATGTGGGGACATCACGCAGACAGAATGATTCTGATCCAAGCCCCCCAAATCCAAAACGTCAAAAGGTCTCTCTTCTACTTTTGAGTTTGTAAATTGATGTTGAGCACACTTTATTTAAAATGCCAGCTAGGGTTAGCAACTCGGTTCTAGGTTGGATTGCATCTGCATAGCATCATAACTGTTAATAATAAATAATAATAATTACAACAATAACAACCACCAAAACTTATTCATGGGGTCAGGTACATGAATCTAATGATACCGCTGTTTCTGTCAGTAACCAATTCTTTAAGAGGCAATTTAATTTCAGATCCTTTTTAATGGTTCCACTTAAAGAGTTTTTCCTGGTCTACCCCTGCCTCGATTTATTGGCTATTTTCTCTTGTTGAAATTATCTTAGGTGTGATTCTACTACTTTTTCCTATGTAAATATCACTCTAACTTTCTCTCTAGTACTATCCTTTCTAGTATATTAATATATATGTAATTACGCATAAAAATTGTCTAAGTATTTGAACATTCAGTGTATTTATATTGCATGTATGAAATGAATATATTTGAAATTATACGAGGTGGATTTGTACAAGAGATTGTCTTGACCACAAGGATTAAGCTCATAGGATTTGATTTGCTAATCTTCCTTTTTCACACCTAGTTTGAGTTCCGTTCTCCTTGCTCCCAAACTCCTGCGGCAGAGGGGGATTCATACTTGCAAAGATGTCCCGATCCTTGAGTGAGAGAGAGCTTCAGCCTTCAGCATGGGAGTTTGTATATGGAAGAGTGAGTGCATACTAGGATATCTGATTCTCTTTCTTTAGTTGTCCTAGGGGAGACCATTCACAGTCCCTGTGGGATCCTGTCAAATCATATCCCCTGTACTCTTACTAGGGGAGGCAAAAGTTCTCGATCTGCTTGTGCCTGATCTGCTTGAACAGTAGAATGACTGTGATTATCTTTGCCGAAAGATGTGATAGTATAAACTACAGTGAATCTTATCTACCATCAAATATGGACTTGCGTTTACTTTTAAAATAACATCTCAGTTTATCGACATCTTTTATCTCGTTAATACAGATTAAATTTTTGTTTGCCTACATTCTTAGTAACATGGACGTTAAATATCTAATTGGTTTCTCTTGCACGTTTCAGTAATGGGTATTGGAGAATTAGTATAATAGCAGTGGGGTGGATTTGGTAGATATTCCGTGATGGAAGTTCAGCCCCCCTCTTCTTTTTTGCTACTGTTAGCATTCCTCTAGAATGGTCTTCCTGCATGTTTTGAATAGTTTTTCTTTACAACTACAATTACAATTTTGATTAATGTCATGGCTTCATGATGCAGATGGAATGATATAGAGGACCACGTTCAGTTTGCGGTCGTGGAAGATTGTGATCATAAGAAACAGAATTCGGGTGGATCTCAAGAAGTCAATTTGGTATTATGTGCTTACCTAGTTTTCTATATCAAGCGTGATTTCATTTTCTCCTGCTATAGACAAACCTTTAGAAGGCTGCTCTTCGAACGGACATCTTGTACACTATTGGCATTGGAATTGAGCTTCCCTTCAGTTCGATTTATGCTTGGAATTGGTAATAGAGTTCCACATTAGAATTGAGATTAGCTATCTTATAAACTTCATTTGACCTCGGTGAAATTGAAACAGAACTAAATCAATCAGTTCTCAATTTTTAAGCAGGAGAATTTTGATTTCAAGAAAGCAATAATTGAGACGCGGGTACATTAGCCCCGTTGTCATTACCGGTATTATAGTTGCGATCATTACTTCTATTACTATTGGTCTGTTTGTTTTTACGTTGCAATGTTCGTCGGATGAAAGATTTTTTTTTTTTAATAAACCATCAATTTCATCATTTATTATCCTTTCTTCTAAGTGGTCTTTAAAGGGGAAAAAACCCTAGATAAGTAATGACTTAAGTATTATAAATAGTTCTAAAATACATCAAGTTATGGATGGATTACACTTCTTCTAACCATTGGTCTCCTCCTTTGAGAGGCTTTGTGAAGCTAAATGTCAATGGCAGTTGGCTGCCAAGTGAGAATAGGATGGGCATTGTTGGTGTAATACGAGGCTCTATTGGATATTGGATTTATGGATTCTCTTAATATGCTGATCCAGGATATGCTCTTGTAGCTGAAATCCTTGCTTTGAAGGAAGGTGTTTGCAGAGCTTGGGATTGGGGTATAGATCAATCATTTGTGCAAGTTATTATTGTCTTGATCTTGTGCAAACTGTCTTATTATGGCAAGGTGATGTTTCTTTGCATGTATATGCTATTCACCTGCGTATCACAGGAACTACCATGCTAAAGGGTTGGAACGAGTCTCTTGCTCATTACTCGATATGTCAATTTCGTGGCACATACTTCGGCAACTCGCATAATTCAGATTACACGGGGGTCACGGAGTTTGTGTTATGGGATTCCGCTTCTGCCTCTTAATGTGTTTGTCTCTGTGTTTATTTTATTTTATTTTTTTGTTTTACAATTTACTATTAGAAGAAAGTATTTTAAAATGAAATCGGTAGTTTATTCATTTTCTTTCATTTCTCATTATCGTGTCGGACATGTTTTGGAATTCGGGATTCGTCTTCCGAATCATGTTTTGCTTATTTTACAATTTACTATTAGAACATGTTTGTTTTTTTTCTTCTTTTTTTTTTCTCGTATGGAACTTGGTATAGAGAATGTATTTTTCGTGTTCAAGAATAACAATTTCTGGAAATGATTAAACTTTATTTGCTTTTTTATACATGTTTTTAGAATATTTATATATGCTTTAAGGGAGTCTAATAATTTTACTACATTAAATTAGTAAATAAAGATAATTTGATATTTTTTGTGATGATTTTTTCTTATAATTGAGAAATTCGTTTTCTTCTTTTCATGGAACAATTTTATGAAAAATTATATAATAAACATTTTCAATAAATAATGTCTTATAAAAAGCATTATTTTAAATAATAAATTAAATATGAAAAATTAATATTCTCACCTTTGAATTTCTTTAAAACTAAACTTTTATACAAAATGTGTCCTTAATGTGAAAAATAAGTTGTCTTATGACAACTCACTTTTTTTATTTATTTATAGGTTAGTTACACTAAGTGAGTTCAACTCATTAGTTTATTTTAGCTTATAAAAAGATGGTAACGAGATTTTTTTAAAACCCGTCTATATTTTTTGCATGCCATTCATTATTTGTATAATTTTTTTAAGTTATCTTACTCAAACACATTTGTTTTTTGAACATTTATTTTGAAATGATGTTTTTTTTGGAACACACTTATTCCAGAATAATGTATTTCATAATTGATATTCCAAAATATTGCTGAAACAATATAATTTTTTTAGATTATATAATTTGGAAAGACATCGGTGTCAACTATGTGCCTTTCTCAGTTTTTGTCCTTTCTCAGATTATCTTCCACTATTAAGCCATGCATCTTTCTCATTTTCTGTCTTCATCTTTATAAAGTCTTACATATTTTTGTTTTATACATATCACGCCACATAACCTAATTTACACACCTACAAAAAAGTCATTTTGAAAACCTGTTTTATACTTTTTTTAAAATTTTATTTTGGTAAAGGCAATTCCAAAATAATTTTTATACTTCAAAATGACTTCTCTGAAATAATTGTTTTTTTTAGGTTAGGTGAATACAATGTTAACATTCTGGAGTGGATTTTCCCAAATGCATTTAATATTTTTGAATGAGCATAATTTTAACATTTCAGAACACATTTTACATTCTAAATAAAGTGTTTCAAGGTACACTTTTAACATTCTAAATAGGGTGTTTTAGAAGGTGTACTTTAAAAAATGTTTTTAAATGACAGATGTATAAAGCAAAACAACAGGTGTAGGAAGAAAATTTCCATGCGTTGAGTGTCTATTGGTTTAGTGATTTTTAAGCTTTAAATTAACAAAGATAATAAAATAACTGTATGATTTTGGGTTTTCATCATCTTGAATTAAGAATATTGTGTTTTGGATTCAATATTTAAAATTAGAGATGATTAATAAAGATAGATTCTAAGATTATTTTTTTTATAGTTCTGAGAAAAAAAAACTATAAACTAAAATAATTGAATCTTGACCATTCATATATATATATATATGTATTGATAGATAGTTTTGTGAGTTAACCTTTTATGCAAGTCATTAATTTTATGATTAATAGATTAATATATATGTATGTCTACACACTGATTTGTATAACATTGAATCTTCGATCATTAATTTTATAAATTTGCTTTTTATATTCATGTATACGAATAAAATTTCATGTTACATTACTATTAAATTCACATTTTTAAATAATATAACTACCGAATCACATTTTTTTAGTGTTATATATAATACAAATTATTGAAGAAGAATTTGTTCACTATAAATAATTTTTATGAATACATATTGAATTTGGATTCAATTATTGCCCTAATTATCGAATCTTAACTCATTCAACTCAATGTTATGTTTAAATATATATGAAAAATGTTTTACTCCTAATTTTTGCGGTTAAACTTGCATACCAAACTCTGGATAAAAAATTCATCATTTAAAAAATTAAAACAATCAATTATGTTTTAAGTAGTTGCAAATATAACTCCTAATTTCGGTTTGATAATATTTAGTTTAACTCATATTGACTCAAGTTCAATGTGAACCATTTTTTAATTCATATTCGATTCAATTTAAACTCATTAAACTTATTTATCTCATTAAATCGTTATATGCAAGTATTTTTAATACAAATTAATAAATTAATAAATATATCTTTATATATATATATGGATGAGTAGCGTGTAATTTCGTAATAAGAAAAACCAATTTTTAAAGAAATTAATTATTATTCTTAAATCTGATTTAATAGATTTATAACTCACCGACTCTTTAATTACTTGCTATTCAGTTTATCAAATAGTGACGCTTACATAAAATACTAATAATCAATGAAAACAAAATATACAATATAATAAAGACAAAATTAAATGTTATATATATATATATATATAT